CCGGCGTCTCGATCCCCCGGAGCAGCCCTCGGCCTGGGCATCGGCCTCGGCCTGCTGGTGGTGTTGCTCCTGGCGGCCGGCCTGGCCATCCTGCTGGTGTCCTGGAACCGGCGCCGGCGCCTCGACCGCTGGGCCAAGACGGTACGCCCGGGAACGGTCGCCTCCCCGCGCCTCCCCTGACTCGGCCTCTAACCGCACGCACCGCCCACACGCGCACGCGCACGCGCACGCGCACGCCCGCCGGAATGTGCCGCACGCTCGCCCAGGACCGCGATGCCATCGCCCTCGAGGCCATGGCCGCCTCAGGCCACTGAGCCCGGCCCCCATGCGCCCGGGCCGGCGTGCCCCCCTCCACGCTTGGACGACAATACATGCGCTTGAAGGAATCGACTTTTGGGGGTGTGGTGCCATTTGTTGCCCCGGGGCGGCCGGGGGCCTGTCACACCCGACCGGCCGCATGGGTTCGCGGCCCGGGCCGCCGGAAGCCGGCTCCCTGGGCCGGAATTGGGCAGGGCACCCGGGTGCGGCTGGCGTCGCACACTCGGCGGGCCGGACCATCTCGCCGATGCCCGGAGCGGCAACGCGATGTCCCCGTGCCGGACGGACGATGTGCGCCGGGGAGGGCGGTGGAGATGCGCCGGGCGCCCGCCCAAACCCAGCCGGCGGTCCCATCGCACATACACACATGCACATGCACATACACACATGCACATACACATATGCACATACACAAATGCACATACACAAATGCACATACACAAATGCACATACACAAATGCACATACACAAATGCACACACACATACACACTGCTGGTGCTGGCAACCCGGGGGACTTGGTCCAGGATGACCGGCGCGGCCAGCGGCGCCCCCTCGAGATCTGGCGGACCGAAAGCACGCCACGCTCTGAGAGACATGCCCCGCAAGCCTTCCCAGCAGCCGGGGCCGCGGAGGCTGCCAGGGCCCCGCTCCCCTCCCCGGGCCCGATGCGCGTCCAGCCCCCCCCCCCCCCCCAGCCTGGCTCGACCACCACCCACAGACACCCCGGCGTCAGAGCGGGAGGGCCTCTGGGGCCTTTGTCCGTGGTCTGCCGGACAACCAAAGCCGACTGCCAACGCTCAGCGCACGGCCCGCAAGCAAGCACGCCGACGGCAGCCAGCCCGCCCCCCCAGGGCCACTTGTCCCCGGCGCGCGAGGGCGCAATTTTCCCCTGGAGGGGCGCCCCGTGCTGTCCCCCCCCCCCCCCTGTCGCACACCGACAATTTGCCGTAGGTCCGGGCGCGGGCGGCTGCCCGGCTCGGCGAGGGCCATTGTCACGCCGCGCACCTTTCATGGTGGACCCTGTTTCAAGAGCCACATCGAGCTGGTATGGCTGCCACGCGCTGCGCTAAATGCTGGCCCCCCCCCCCGGCAAGAGTGCGCCCCCCGGGGTTGTGCCAGGCCTTGTGCGGGGCCAGCGGGCGAGGGGAGCATTTCACCCGGCGAAGCCACCCGAGCGGCGTCCATGCCTGCGGCATCCTCCCCGGCCGGGGGGGGGGGGGGGGCCAGACGCCTCGAACTCCCCGGCCATGCTGGCCGGAACATCATGCCCGGCCGGCACAAGGCCGCATGCGAGGCCCCACCCGGGCGAGTGGCCCTGCGGACGCCGTCTTGCCGCCCCGTCGCGCGGCCGCCACCCGCCCCAGATCCCAATGCTCCATGCGGGCCTCCCTCCCGGGGGGGCCCGGCCGCGGCGGGCGCGTTGGCCCTCTCTCTCTCTCTCTCTCTCTCTCTCTCTCTCTCTCTCTCTCTCTCTCGAAGGGGTGGCCCTTCGCAAGGAGCCCGCCTTCGGGCAGCCGTTCCTGGCAGAGCACCACACGCGCGCGCCCTGCCCCTGACAGAAGGCCCAAGTCACCAGGGGCACCCGACCCCACGGACGGGTCCAAGCCCCGGCCAGCAAATTGGCCGGAGAGAAAGGGGAAGGGAAAAGAGGGCGAACCCCAGGAGGGGGCCGTACACTCGGGCATGTCCACCAACCAGATCCCTCGCTCCGCCCCCC